TTTTTGCTACTATCATGTCGGATATCACGGATGATCTCACAATTGTCAGTGAGTTGGCTACAGCGACTCCCATTCCCGAGAACCAGTCGTCTCAGAGCTTCTGAACTGCTCTGTGTGCCAGCAACCGGGCCGAAGAACGGTATAGTGCTGTCAACCAGTGTGACGGTTCATTGCAGCACTCAGATCCCCCTGCCCACCTGTGGACACCCTATATGCCACCGATGCCGTCAGCTTGCATTGGAGCCTACTATTCAGTGTGGAGAGTGTGGGAAAGTCTCGGCTATCCCGGTGGTGGGAGACGATGAGTCCCTGGCTTCTTCGTCGGGATCGGGATCTGATTGGAGGTATCACCGCTGAGGTCCTTGCACGTCACCTTGTACATTGTTCAGTCACGAGCATGCTGATACCAAGAAGAGCAATACACTATTGTGGATATCAGTGGCAGCTGGGGTGTCAGTCGCCTTTGCTACCTGGGCTATAGCAGCCTATCTTGCTAGGGGTAGGAGGAAAGGAGCCCATCGGAATGTGCTCGAGGGAAAGGCACGGTCGTGGCCATTCCGGGTAGGTCCGGGTGAATCGTCTTTTGATATATCGCTATTGTTATTGGCTACTGATATATACTATGTTGTTTACTATCATGAAGTTGTATATATTATGATTATTGTACATGTAACTCTAAAGTAACTCTGTCATTGCCATAACCAGATACATACATCTCCTACTGTATCAATGCCTACGATAAGCTACTCGACTTTCGCCTACCACACCCGAGGCCGAGCTGTGATAGCAGCACTTGTTGCCTATTCCCGGTTCGCTAGATTGAGTTGAGCAGCACAATTGTCCTACACTACTCATGTATAACCGTTATTTTGTCATGACCACGAGTTGCGTTATTTTAATAATGGATAAATTATGCAGACTAATGATGGTATGAATAGTATTATCAATAAAACTGATACATCAGTATTTATAACCATTTACTGGTTATTCTGGTAGCCAATACGAATAGAGCATTAGCTAAATATTGGACATCAACAGCAGAGAGGGTAACATGCCTGTTGCAAATACGCTATCTGAACACTCGCAGACCTATCTGTGACTCATATGATAAAAAGGCTGGGAGAAGGAGCACGCTCCTAGCGCCTCACTGAGTACAGATGCAAGCCTCGGACAGTGTGAAAGTTCAGCCGTGGCTGAGCTAAGTTAGCTCAGCTAACCAGCGTTCACAATTGGATGGAGTCTCGGAACGAGGGACTCACCACTGGTGAGTCACCAGCAGACTTTCTAGCGAAGATATATGTATGTTCGCGGCAGTTTGCTGCCAGTTGCGCTGTAACGGTAATAATCTCACTTGAAATGATTTCGTCTACTGCACGCTAATGGTGAAGAATCGTACGTAGTATTTCAACGGCAATGTGACTGTACAAATTCTCTCCTACCAGGCGGTATGACATGTCATCTACTGGTATATTGCAACCGTTTTTGTTTTTATGGAATTATGTAACAGCTTACATGAGAATCTCTCGCTCGGTTTCTGAATCTGCGCCTAATTCCGGTGCACGGTACTTCTCCATAGAGAAAGCAAGCTCATTAAATAGGGCCATTCACAACGCTTTTGACCTGAATGACTCTGGATACTTCTTTCAAGAGTAAGCCGCGTCACGAATTGTTATATACCTACCGACACCAACAGAACTACGCGTATTATATTGAACGGGTGAAATTAACCCGTGATTTACCCCGTCCTCATATCAGAGTCATCTTAATTATTCAGCCGCAACACAACATATGAGCTTTTTCAAGTCCACGTCATCATGAAGCTACTCAAGACTACTGATACGCATAACTACTTGAAGCCAGAAAATTATGAACTAGCACCAACTTCGCGTTTTTCTTTCCACTGCACAACCCTAGGATCAGCATAAAGGTTAGACTTGACACGTTGTAGATTAGTATAGGGATCGCACAATGTCGCCGGAAAACCATCGATGTAACCACTGGTGAAGACCTCCATCATGTTGGTGAGCAACTGAATAACAGCCCTAGATACTCAACAGCATATGCAGTACAGACCACACAGCGTGAACGGCTTGGAATTCCCATCTCCCCAGAAAAAAAGTATCGGGCTTACCAGATCAGCAATTGTCATTTCATCACCTGTAGCGAACTTCTTGTCACCAATCATCTCATCCAACTTCCCGAATACGAAAGGGATTTCCTCTTCGGCAAGAGCCTGCGAAACGCTATAGCTGTGAAGTCGGTACAATACACGCGCCCTCAGACCTTCCGAGTTTTCATCTTCATCTCCTCGTCCATCTTCATAGTAGCCGCTAACTTCACATGAGTATCCTTGACCATGTCCATAAGCTCGTCAATACGTAGACGCTTCATCAAGTCAGATTGAGGGTAGAGGCCGGCAGAAGGGTTCAACTGCACGAAGACTCGTCGGCTCAACAGGAGGTAAGAATCGCGCAGACTTACAGATCCCACGTAGCGAAGAATGGCGTATCCCTGAGTTATCATGGTTCCATCCTTGAGTTCCAAGACGGGAACTTGACCAAGTGGGAACTCGGACTTGATAGCAGGGAACTCCGCGAAAGGGATTCGACGATCCTTGAAGGGAATACCTACGACTCGTAGGCTACGAGGAACAAATATGATCGGATCGAATCAACATATCCCTGAAACGCTATAGAATCAGGAGTATAACGAATATCAAGCCACTCAGCGAGATACTTACCCGAGACGGCAAACGCCAACCTGATAGGTTCGGCGGCGCCAGGGACATCGAAGTAATGAAGGGTGTACTCAGCCATGGAGAAACAGACAAGCAGAGACTACTTGGAAAAATTTACTTCATCACACTGGGTCTTGGCCAAGCCGCCAATCAACAGTACTATCTCGATTAGTGCATAGTATGGCCGATGCACATACAGAATTTGATGTGTGCATCGTTCATGATTTGCACAGAGCGTTTCAAAGTTGCGTAACGTCTCACTCACTATGAATATAGAGGGTGAGTGAAGATTTCACCACGCGAGGTGAATAGCCGACTATGGCACTGAGGGTATGGGTCATTCGCAGCGTTCTCTACGCAAGGTCTTATCGTCTTGCTTAGGTCAAGATAGATCAAGATTGTTTCGAGTCAATTCTTGATTCTTCCCTCGAAGATTCGAACAATTCATCAAGTTATCCCGAATATCGTCATTCCAGAGGAGTTACGTCACATGTACGATTCGAAGTGAGTGAACCTAGTACTAGATCCGTACTGATGTGTAACATACCTCGACGTTGTTCATCAATTTCAGACTTACACCAGTGCTCGTAGATAAACTTTAAAGCACTACTTAGGATCTCTCACGATAAGTGCTTCGACATTAGTCATCTTACGAGCATACACGCTGCACTTTGAATGGGAACCCACCAACTTCAAAACGAACAACGCAACAACACGAGTGAATTTTGAAGAGATTGAAAATTAACTAGTCAGAAGATTAACTATCAAGTGGCGTGTGAATACTGACCATTTAGAGAGCCACACTCTCAGCAACAGCTGGGAGAGACTTCACTTCGCGATTTTCGCGCCACAGCTTCACAGCAGGGTTGGCTGCTACCAACGCCTGGATCCTTTGGAGCTTCTCATAAGGATTTAAAATGGATAGAGGAGTGCCCAGATGTGCGAGGTTGAATATGAAATCTAGTATCACGAAAAGCATCTGAGAGAATAACGAGTATAAACTACCACACAACGATACGAAAACCCTTCAAATCACAACAGACTGAACAATCAACTGAGACGTGATAGCCGCAAAGAATGAGCCTATCCAGGAGCCGATTCTTACCAGATCGGCAATCGTGAGATGATCTCCAGCTGAGTACTTATTATCTCCGATCATGCGCTCTACTCTTTCAAAGTAAAACGGGTAAGTGGTATTTGCCAACTCCTGAGAAGTAAAAACCAATCAATTCTGGAATTCATTGAGTATACCACTATAACTCTCACTGATGAAATCAGATAAAAAAATACACCTTACAGAAATCGCTGCATCTCTAGCGGGACCATCAGGCATGATCTTGACAAGTCTTGTCTTCTCTCTCATATCAGCGAAGGTTTCCAACAACTCATCTATGCGTAATCTCTCCATAGGATCAGTGGGGTACAGACCATACGATGGACGCAGCTGAAACAATCACGATTTGAGATGCATCGGAGAGATCCATTTCTGCCTACCGTAGCCACATATCTCAAAATGGCATAACTCTGAGTCGCCATTTTGCCATCAGGGAATTCCAAAACCGGTAGTTGGTCGAGGGGGAACACGTGATTAGGCTTCAAAGTCTTTGCCCAATCTTCCTTCGTTTCACGAATATCTTCAAAAGGAATACCTAAGAACTCTCATAAAAATAGAGTGTAGAGGAACTGAAGCTAACCTTGAACTGCGAATGTCAAACGGATAGGCTCTGCTCTAGCAGGCACATCGAAGTAATAAAGCTTTAGAAGAGTGTTGGACATTATGAAGGATGATATTCTACTAAATTCTAAGGCACCATACGAATTGCACTCATATATATCTATTGTACTAAACTGACAATAATCCGATTAAGGAGTAGTGAACGTATTGCGGTATGAAAGCGTATCTTCACTAGCACACATAGCTTGTTTCAGCTAAAATTGAGACATATTATCTGTTTCACAAACTTAGATAACTTTTCTCGCAGCTGCATTGATTTGATGTTAACACGAACACGCTGAGGCAAGCATTGTTCGAGTAATGAGTTGAGTAAGATGGCGAGAGCGAGGATGCATTAGACACGAGCCTGGGGAGATTCACATACAACGGTCACGGGACAGTGCGTAGTTATAAGTGAGTTCTAGTTGAGTTGGTTGAATTCAATCAGCTTGGTTCGGAGATCGCGTAGACTCTATAATATCCTGTCCTCTGGGTCATGCGAACTAACTCTGTTCAGATGTTCCCTTATGAACTTTCATTCCAGCAAGGGAATTCATGTCAACGTTTCTTTCTATCCTCGTTAACAATAATATCACCAATATTGTTGGGTTATTATCAATGGACAAATTGGTCATCCGATGGTTCGAAGTCTCCCGGTATACACGACTTGCACACCATACACGGTTCGTAAGGTTAGATTGAGACTTGACGATCACACAGAAGCAAACTGTGGCTCAATTTAACTGCTCTACACGTGACCTAACAGTCAAATTGAACAGATTGTCTGCGGTAGATCGTGCGACTTTTCCCTAGTGTGCTGTTTTCAAATCAGTTCCTTTACATAACAACAATAAATAACACAACAACGATGCGACAATGGTTGTAGAAGTTGAGATAAAAACCATTTACAAACCAAAATATCAAGCGATGCTTTCAAAGAATATCTAATGAGCAAAACTCTCAGCAACAGTAGGAAGGGGCTTCACTTCGCGATTTTCGCGCCACAGTTTCACAGCAGGGTTGGCCGCTACCAAAGCCTGAATCCTTTGTAGCTTCTCATAGGGCTTCAAAATGGATGGTTGAGCGCCCAGATTTGCTATGTTGAATATGAAGTATAATATTGAATCAATCTCCTGAACAAATCAGCAAATAACAAGTGCAACGTGGCGAAACAACTTCGCAGACAATCACCCGGAACATCAGTGATGTTTTGGGTGATTGTTACATCACTAGGATCAAACACCGCGAAACTCAACTCCAAGGAAAAACGGAATTGAATCGAGCTCCCTGGAGAATCTCGGCCGAGACTTCCCTTACCAGATCAGAGATTGTCAGGTGATCTCCAACCGAATACTTGTTGTCCCCGATCATACGCTCAACTCTGTCGAAGTAGAACGGATAGGTAGTACGTGACAACTCCTGAAATTGAAAAACTGATCTGCTCTACACTGCATACTCAGCACAATTGAGCCAGCAAGTCACGAGGGTACTAGCAAGCACAAGCCTACCGATTTCGCAGCTTCCTTGGCAGGGCCGTCAGACATGACCTTGACAACTCTTGTCTTCTCTCTGATATCGGCAAAGGTATCCAACAGCTGATCTATGCCTAGTCTCTGGATAGGGTCAGTGGGGTAGAGACCATACGATGGACGCAGCTAAAACAAGTAAACAAACTAACGAATGCATTATTAGGAAGCTGATGTTAAGCTATGCAATCCACCTTACCGTAGCCACATATCTCAGAATAGCATGACTTTGAGTCGCCATTTTGCCATCAGGAAACTCCAGAACGGGCAGTTGGTCGAGGGGGAACACATGAGTCGGCTTTAGGCTCTTCTTCCAGTCTTCCATCGAGATACGGTGATCAATGAAGGGGATCCCTGTAACGCCACAGAAAGGTATGCTAAGCTGCAAGAGTTAGAGGCTACCTTGAATAGCAAATGACAGACGAACTGGTTCCGCCCTAGCAGCCAAGTCGAAATAATGAAGTTTGAGCAGATTACTGGACATTGTGGAGTAAGAAATTGTCAAGAACTCTGAGACGCTATGTAACATAGACTAATATTCGTTATGTAGCTGACACTGGAACATCGATAAAAACTATAAAGATTGAACCGAAGGGAACACACAAACATCAAAATTGTCATGCGGAGATCTCACTAGCAGAAATAGCTATCTGCAGCTGAAATCCAAATACTTCACTAGATGCTCAGACTGCAAAACTCGGTGAAAAATTGTGTATTGTTAACGCCGCATTCCTGAGTCGAGAGGCAGAACATATACCAACGAGCTTCAGAGAATTCCCGAAGGAACTTCACGATGGAGCAGAATTTGGGTGAAAAATCCACCGACTCTAGTGCAGGGTACGGTAGTAGTAATCAGAGATTGAATACTTCGTGGATAACTCGAGCCTTGGATTTACGAGCCCTGACGCAAATTCGCTCATTAGTGCCTTGTGAATGGTTAGTGAATCTAGTGTGTGGCATCCTACGTGGAAAAAGTACAGTTGTAGCATTAACCACTCCAGCAAGCACAGAGACAAAGATTGTGTTGCGCTGAGACACGCATGACAAGCCTCTGACGAGATTGGTATTCGCATATCGCACAACTTTGGAAATGATTCTACCACGGCAAATCTTGGGGTGACATATATACCCACCTAGAGAGAATTAGTGAGACGGGAACTAACCCCATCTAAGAGCCATAAAGTAACGATTATGTTCGATTAACAGAGTTTCTAAGCCTGCAAGGCTTTTATGATGGAGGAATGGACCCCTCCAGAAGTTCATAAAGTAATGAAAATGTGTTTCATTTAGGGAGTTGCTGACCGACAAAGACTTTTCAAAGTTAAGTACGAGCAACTATTCCCAGATAAGCAACAACAGAGTCGCGGACAGCACTAACTTCAGGAATTCTTGATAGTAGGACACAAACACTTTGATGATCATGCTCATACACAATACATAACCGGAAATATGGAAGAACGCAAATATGAGAGTGAAACATGAAAGGATACCATTATGAACGATTCTCTTTCTGTTGATGTATAGCATTAGATCAGGAGCGGAGTTATAGATATACTCCCCGAGTAAAAGTTGGTATTTTGAGGCGCAATTTTAACACGTGTATGCTAAGAATATGTGGAGAAATTTTCTTACAGGTCTTCGACTTCTCAATAACTACGAAGAGTTAGGCCCTGAAACTTGGAGGTCATATCAGGTAAAGCATAAGTACATACCTCCCTGAGCCGCAAGATGATACTCGTTGTGGTGGCTGTGCACGAGTCGAAAAACCGGATATGCTAAGAATATGTGGAGGGGTGTATGTTCGCTTGCGTTTAGAAACCTCGCCACATCACTGATAAACAACGCAACAAAATATGAAATTTGTAGAATTGAGATGAAAATCGGCTACAATCCAGCTGCGTTACACAGCTTATCTAATGAGCGAAACTCTCAGCAACAGCAGGGAGGGGCTTCACCTCACGCTTCTCGCGCCACAGTTTCACAGCAGGGTTGGCCGCTACCAAAGTCTGGATCCTTTGGAGTTTCTCATAGGGCTTCAACATGGATGGCTGCATACCCAACTTGGCGAGGGTGAATATGAAGTATAATATGGAATCGATCATCTGAGGAAATCAGCAAATACTAAATGTAACATTCTAAACAATCAAACGAATTATGCCAAGGAAAGAATTAATAACTCAGCAGCACACGATCAAACTTCGCATACTTAACATGAATAATAAGATCCAACCAAGACACTGAAGTCTTCTTACCAGATCGGCAATCGTGAGATGGTCTCCAGCTGAGTACTTATTATCTCCGATCATGCGCTCTACTCTTTCAAAGTAGAACGGGTAAGTGGTATTTGCCAACTCCTGAGAAGTAAAAAGCAATCAATTCTGAACTCTTTGACGAATCAGACAGACTCAACAGACAATCACAGCATAAACTGACAAGCACCACAAGCCTACCGATTTCGCAGCTTCCTTGGCGGGGCCGTCAGACATGACCTTGACAACTCTTGTCTTCTCTCTGATATCGGCAAAGGTATCCAACAGCTGATCTATGCCTAGTCTCTGGATAGGGTCAGTGGGGTAGAGACCATACGAGGGACGCAGCTGAAACAATCACGATTTGAGATGCATCGGAGAGATCCACTTCTGCCTACCGTAGCCACATATCTCAAAATGGCATAACTCTGAGTCGCCATTTTGCCATCAGGGAATTCCAAAACCGGTAGTTGGTCGAGGGGGAACACGTGATTAGGCTTCAAAGTCTTCGCCCAATCTTCCTTCGTAATACGATCATCTTCAAAAGGAATACCTAAGAACTCTCATAAATGAAAACTCCATTATCCGAGTTGGAGCTCACCTTGTATTGCGAATGACAGACGAATAGGCTCCGCTCTAGCGGGTATGTCAAAATAGTGAAGTTTAAGGAGACTGCTGGACATTGCGGCGAGAAATGAAATTCTGGTAAACTACCAAATACTCTTATGTATTCTAATAAGTAAAAACTCGACTTAAACATAAAATGCGATTCACTAACAAACGCAGCTAACTTCAGCTAAGCCTCAAACATGCTGCTTCGACACAACGACACGGCTCATTCTGTCTATTCTGGTCTACGATACAAAGCGCAGGATTTATCGATATGGTATGTGCATGGAGAGTAGAGCACTGTCACAGAATAACCATTGGTATTTTCAGAGTGGTAAATTACTACTCGAGGAAACGACCGGTGAGGGAAGATTAGTCGATGACATTGACCGGGGTCCTCCGAAATTAGTTGATTTACGATCAGCCTACGACTGTGATACCATCCGGATCTGCTATCGGTATGTTGGGAAACAACATTCGTTCTATACATCGGGATTGCACAGCTATTTCCATTGCACGCGACGAGTGTGGGACGAAAAAGTGTAAAATCCTCGTAGTACCATCCTCGCAGAACAAATGATGAAGTGGTGACACGATAACACAACCATCAAGTAAACAAGAACGTGATTCGTGAAAATGTCAAGTCATTCGCATACTCAACTTAGATGTACTCGGCTGCCGATGCTTTCGTTTATGCTGCATCCAAACTGCTCTTCATTCCTTCAAGCCTCATACACACCGACAAGGAACGCCTCCCTCCCTCTCCATCGCGCCAAGATACCGCGGCACGCAAACGCATAGCTTCTCCCCCTTTTCATAGAGCGAGGTATTGTAAGCTTTCCTCCACTCCAAGCTTTCCTGCTGTTATTCTCTCCACAAGAATAAGAGTTGTAACTTTTCCTTATGCCTACTACCTTGCGTTCCCCCAGTAAAACAGACACCGACCCTGACCTAGGTATCACAACACCTATCAATGTCATCACCGAGGTCATTGAGTTCACCTGAATCACTCCAGTGAGAGTATGAGCTAGATGGAGGTACACGAAGATTTTACAGACTCAATATAACCTGCATGATGCAAAGCTCCACTAAGTATTTTCAGAATGTCAGCTCATAGGGATGGACTGAACATTATAAGATGTGTTTGAAATAGTCGAAATATCTGGAAATATAATACCAGATAGTTCATTCTATACCTATTCTCGTTTCCGACACTCTCCTCAGCGAACACGTGTAATCTGGAAGCATCTACCGGGAAATTAGAACCTATGTTAGAAAACTAGATGTGGGTGTGAAGTGAGGCCACTCTAGAATATAGCCAAATATTGATTCCTTTTCTTGTGCTGTAGCTAAGCCTACAATAGTAAATCGACTCCTGCTAGAAATTCGCTCTACTCTCGATCATTGAGACTCTCGAGATCCCTTCGAGACACCTCCAAATAGTGTTAGGAAACATGCGCATGGTCAACTTCATGTCTGGTGACTGTATGAAAATTTTGACGAATTTCGCACTGGTTTTTACTCTTTTTTTGAGTGGAAACAGAATTATACACGTTTCACATGGTAGACTATACGAGTCACAAGTGAAACGTTCATCAACCTTAACCAATCAAACAAATAAGAACAAAGTTTTTACTCTAATTCTTGTGTGAACTCCTGTAATCAGTGAGGAAACTCCTGATTTCAGCTTAGGAAACCAAACATACAATCCTCAAACACAGCTTCCAGAAAGCAGATGAAACCGTTAAAGGGCCCAAATCCTCGGGCTCTTCAGGGCGTGAATGAATGCATGAGCATACGCATATCGAGGAACATATACACATGGTCAACTGCATGTGTTGGTGAGAATACGAAAAACTTTGGGAGATTTCCTCGTTGATTTCTGTCAACTGTTTAGCAAAATTCCATAATTAGTGAGGAAACTCAGCTGAGGGAAGCGAATACATATTCCTCCAACACGAGTGATAGCGAGCAACACTCACCGATTCTGACCTTGAGGAGCGTTGGCGGGACCATCACTGCAGAGTCGTCTTTGGGTAACCCTGCGGTGGAGTGAGGAAAACTACTGACCATTATCAATGACTAATGAGATCTCGCAAATTGACGAGGAATACCAACCCAACCCCTTTTCAAAGTGATAATTGTACAATGCGCATGCTCTCTTCTCCTTAGCCCTCCGTAGATTCCGATCTCAAGAAGAAATCTGTGAGTTGCCTTTGGACCCTCGGTCGGGTCCCTCCGTACAGCCTTCGCCGTTTTAAAGGCACTTCTGGGCATCTCGATACAGTCTCTACTGCATCTGAATCACTTGACAACTCCACCACCACTACCGAGTCCTCTCCTCCTTCTCTTTGTGGAACATAACTGCACGTAGATCCCCCAGGCCCCACGTGATCGTCCATCCTCGCCACTCGAGTGCTGCTCTCACTCTCCAACAAGTCGCCAAGTAAATCCTCAAGTGGACATGTGTCCGACAATGCCTCAGTCGCCGTTCTCTTCAATTTGGGCAGGGGGGCCGCCACAACGACAGACTCCTTCACCGAACCCGCAGACTGAGATGGGTCTACCACCCGCGTCGCGTGCCTCTTCAACGCAACCCCATTACTCCGCGATGACTGATTCTCCTTACCTCCCGAGACAAGCGTTCGCATCCTCTGCAATACACTCTGGTCCTCCTCCGCCTCTGCTCCTCGACTAAGCTGCCTTTCCAGCCCACGTTTCATCACCCGTTCATGAGCGGTCAATCCAACACGCTTTCGCTTCCCTACGGGACTTCGACGGCATCTCGTACGAGCCTCCTGTAACTCTTCCTCTAGTTCGTTCAGTTGTATAGTAAGACTCTCGAGATCGCCTCCTGGTTGCCTATACGTGTCCAAAAGCTGTTTCCACTCTACCTCCACAGCGCGTATTAAAACATCGATATTTCTATTATTAACTATACTATCCCTTAGTTGTCTCATCTCACTCCGGGGTTCTCTCAAGGGCATGTCCATTTTCACAGCATCCTGCATCTGTCGTAACTCCTCCAGTTTCATTTGCATATCATGTTCAACCGTATATACCTTCTCCTCAGCAACTTGCCTTTCCCGCTTAGTTCTCCTCAAGCAACCTCTGAGGCTCTCCAATCTCCTCTCTCCACATCTACACTCCTCTGCTAAACTCTCACTAGTCGTCTCCACAGATTCTATCTGTGCCTCGATCTTCCCAGAAGCCTTTTCAACATCAGCAATCTCTGCTAACAGCCCAGCAACAGTATCGAGATCATGAGGAAGCATGTGGTCCTCTAGATTCTGCACCTCTGGCCGTAACCGTACCGGCTTACACTTCTGTTCAGCTTTACACTCTGGGCAGGTCGGTGACCTGAACAATGAGTGTGTTAACCGCAATTTCAGCAAAATGATTATGCTACCACCGTCATTTTCTATAGAGGTTTCACGTGGGAAAATTTGCATATGATCAACTACACGTGTAGGTGACATTGACAAGATTCTCATGAGTTTGTGTACTCAAATTTGTATCTAAACTTCTTTAATAACTGATGAAACTTCTGCAATCAGCAGAGGTAAGTATACATATATTCCAACACTGCTCAGCTTAGTCGAAATCGAAATCCTAAATGCTGTGAATACTGTTCGAGCGAATACTTCTAACAGTTTGCTCACCTTTTCATCCAGCGACTGAGGCATGCCTCGTGATAGATGTGTTTACATTCAGTTGAAACAAGTTGACCAACGTCCCCTCGAGAATCTATCGCCCCTACAAACTCCATACAAATCGAACACGTTGACATTGGCGGTGATATGCACTCCAACCAAAGTACTGCATCGATCACTCTGAGCTCCTCACCAATGAACGCAACAACCTCTGATACGCTGTTGGGTATTTGATCACTCTATCACCAAATAGTTGTGTGCCCAATCTGTCCCACCTAGCTATGGCTAGTAGGAGGTTTTTTTGTGGAAACAGAATTATACACGTTTCGCATGGTAGATTATACGAGTCACAAGTGAAACGTACATCAACCTTAACCAATCAAACGAATAAACAGAGCCCGCAAAGAGACGGGCGGAACAATGGTACGTAGTATTGGCTATACTACAGTGCGAAGGTTAAAGAGTTCGTCATCAGCCACGATGCTGCTGGAAAACTCTCCCACTCTCAGAGAGCGGCTCTCTCTTCTCCTTTCTCGGCTAGTAGTAGATTGTACTGTTGCTGTTGTATTCATCCTATTCCTCCAAATAGTAACGCTCTGGCTAGTGTTATAAGTCAATGTCAACGGCCCGACGGGTGATCATATTGATGTTTTACTTGAGTGTAGAGGAAGGGAAAATATCATGTGTTGTAACAACGTTGGATTTAACCGTTGGTAGGAGGATGCCAGAGTGATGGTGAATATTGTCGCTACCGCTCGGTGTTGAAATTATGTTAATTAGCATCATACCTCACCGTAGTGATGGACCCAGTGTAAGGATTGATAGTGAATACAGCGGAGTCGACACCTCATACATGGTGGGGCCGTATGAGAGGCATATGCTACTTCTTAATCAAGACAAGTTCACTCTTCACGATGGGAAGCAGAACAACTGTCGTCCCCTATTGAGAGATCCGGCTAATGGGTTGGTTAGCCTCTACAGTCTACTACTACTACTACTACTACAAGTTACTCTGATACTATACTCAACACCATGATAAAGGGAACTGTACTCACTGTCATTATCAACTCACTGTAGAGGCGGTGATAGGGTAGCTGAGAAATTTCAAGATGGCTCAAGATGTTCAAGATTTACAAGCTCGCCCGTGGTAGCAAGTCGTAGTAGATGTTTTCAACCCCATTCCGTAACCTTCGCACTGTAGTAAAACGAATACTACGTACCATTGAACCGCTCCTTCCTCCGCGGGTTCTGTTTCTTTGTCGGACCGGTTAAGGCTGTTGATGGACCTTCCACTGGTGGCTTGTATAATTAATAGTATGTTGGAGGTTCACCCGTGATATGAAAAACACATTTCACGACTATTGCATGCCACGAATATCGCCGAGTTTTACTCCACTACGTAAAACGGGTGAAACTCCATTATACGAGTCACCAGTAGAAGGTTCATCAACAGCTTACATCAACAGTTTTATTATATAGTGTAGAATTCTGTTCTCACTCCAAAAAACACTACTAATCCAATCTCATATTTTCAGATATTGAAAGAATTACTTTATTATCCCCGCTGAGTTAATCAATGCTCAATCGACCCTACGCCGATTTTGATATTTTAACAGTTTCTTAAGGGAATGTTCTTTTTCTACGTTTTCATCGTCTGTTTTTGATGAATTTTCGATTGATAATGTCAATGACATGCAGTGTTAGAGAAATATATGCTCGCTTTCTTCAGCTGAATTGAGGAGTTTTCATCACTGATTATAGAAGTTTACATACAATTTCGGGTGAAATAGAACACTAAGGAAGCGCCGACGCGAGAACCAATTCGAATTTGCCGAAATTTCCCCAAGAAAATTATTTTCTCACCAACACATGTATTTAATCATGTACATATTTAGTGAATATGTGAATATTATTACCAATGATATGTTATGATGTTCCTATGATGTTATCTTATAGTTTTCTCATGATGTTATCTTATAGTTTTCTTATGATGTTATCTTATAGTTTTCTTATGATGTTATCTTATAGTTTTCTTATGATGTTATCTTATAGTTTTCTTATGATGTTATCTTATAGTTTTCTTATGATGTTATCTTATAGTTTTCTTATGATGTTATCTTATAGTTTTCTTATGATGTTATCTTATAGTTTTCTTATGATGTTATCTTATAGTTTTCTTATGATGTTATCTTATAGTTTTCTTATGATGTTATCTTATAGTTTTCTTATGATGTTATCTTATAGTTTTTTTATGATGTTATCTTATAGTTTTCCTATGATGTTATCTTATAGTTTTCTTATGATGTTATCTTATAGTTTTCTTATGATGTTATCTTATAGTTTTCTTATGATGTTATCTTATAGTTTTCTTATGATGTTATCTTATAGTTTTCTTATGATGTTATCTTATAGTTTTCTTATGATGTTATCTTATAGTTTTCTTATGATGTTATGTATGGGTAAAATATTATTCACTCATATACAACACCAACTTGAAACCAAGTCCGAATTGATCACCAGTGTATTTCCCATCGTGCTATCGAATCCAACATCGGTATCGGCAGCTTTTTTCATAAGTCCTCTCATTGGAAATTGGCGAAGTTCATCAAAACAGTCGTTCAACGTGGAAAGAAGGGGTTCCTACAAGGAGTGAATAGGCGATTTGGGCAAACCATGACATTGCCCTGGAATAGTACTGTCCTTCGTAGTGGAGGAAAATATGCATCCTATTTCGCGTTTAAGGAGATCAATTTCGCAAGGCGAGCAATCATCCGAGCCAAGATATGCCTCAGTAAGATCAATTTCCCCAGCGCGCTCGATACGAAAATCAATGTCATTAGTACAATCGATTTGGCCGGCATGTCTGAAGTAAGTTCAATTTCGATGAAAGGCGGAAATCGATGAAATCGCTGATTCAGTTGATCTGACTGAACGCGAAATAGGGCTTGAAAAGGTGTACCATGTGTTGATGAAATTTCTGAGGAAAATTTTGGAAGTCTTATTGATTTCTGTACATTTTTGCCACACTGGAATATGTAAATTCCTATATTTACCTTTGGGAACTCTCGAGCTCAGGTGAGGAAAGCAAACACATATATTTCAGCACTAGTCGTCTGTGTAGTGAATAGTAGGATATGGCTATGTCGTGGGAGGTTGTGCAGTGCACCTCCTCCTCCTCCTCGTTCCCTCTGATATCACCATAATTGAGGAGAAGAATAAGATTGCCAAGAAGGGTATACGTCCGCTGGAGAAGACTGGGCTGACTCTCATGTTTCCGCTGATTCACTAATGTTATTCAAAATTCGACAAGCATGACATGTACGACATCCTCAGGTGCAAGTTCGATCCCTCGGCCAGCGATCCGGCTATAGACATCTGCCGTAGGAAGCAGGAAAGTGTTCGTCGCAGAGTTGTCGCCTAGAAGGGCCTACTACCAGGACTTGTATTGGGTGTTAGTCTACCCTGGTGGAGTCTCAGGAGCTACAACTACCTTTTGTGCTTACTTTGGTACTATATGCGGCCGTATTGCTGAGTGGGTTGAGCTGGAGGTGGGCGGAAACTGATCGTGGAAGGGTGTTGGGAAATTTGCGGCTAAGGTTTACTACAGGCCGAAGACTGATGCCTCAGGGGAAAAGTAGTTTTAAAGGATTAGTAATATAATGAGCAAATAGTATGGTCAATGGTGATTGCTTTTGTTGGACTCCCCCATTCTGGAGTGGCACTGTTGAGGGGAATCCCCTAAGGGGGATCCCCTCAGGGTACCACCTTCGACATAGTATGAAGGGTACTAATAGGGTCTGACATAGGGTAGGGTACTACTCCATGACATATTGTTTTCCCGCATATCGTACCTTTTTCGTGTTTACGGGCATCAGTTGAGGCTGAATATAGAGGCGGGGAAGTTCATTAGGGGTGGTAATTAGATATGGCTACTAGGGTTAAAGGGAATCACGTGGGCTTGTAGACCCTGTGGGAATATCAACTATAGAGCGGGGTTTTGTCTCAGTCTCATGATATCGCACTACATTCGCAATCACTCATGTGCATAGGCTTGGAAATTCTCCGTAGATAGCCCCCGTACGCATGGGGGTAGCACCCCAATCCAGTCACGTTAGCTGCGAATTGGAGGTGTATGTGGGGTCATGGTTGTCGTGTAGGGGTAGATGGGAGTAGCCCCGATATAGTAGTAGTTTTCCAGGATGTGGAGTCCCCCTAGTTGACCACGATGTTACCGAGATGCCGGTTGACCATGTGGGTGGTGAAGTGGTGGACTGTAGTTGTGAAATAGAGTTTCCGACACTCTATAGGTCCCGAGTTCGATCCCGGCATGATGCCTTTTATGCCAATATATCAGGTGGTTTACTCTCCTTCCGTCCAAGGGTTTTTTCATTACTGTAATGCCTCCTTCTCAGTACGAGGACGGGGACCCATCTGGCCTCCAACAGCAGCAGCAGCAGGAGGAGGTTGACTTATACGATTTACTCCACGTCACTCGCGATAGCGACGCTGATGCGATTCGCCAGGGGTATCTAGATCAAAGTAAACTGCATCATCCTGATAAGAGAGCAGCACAAGGGGCGGATCCGGAGGCATTCAGGAGAATCAACTACGCCTATCGAGTTCTCTCCAACCCAACTATGCGATCTTTTTATGATAAATACGGTCTCAATGGTATCAGTCTCGCCGACGGTATTGTGGTGAAACAGGATGAGACTTTGGCCCAGCTGGAGCGCCGGGTGAGGGCTGTAGTACGAGGAAATGAGGAAATGAAAGTTCAGAGAATGTTCCAACTACAGGGGGAAATGACCACTGGTCTTAAATTTAGAGATTGGCAAGAAGCCCCGCGATGGGCGTATACGAGTTTCACCCACGGCATGGGAGTAACCGCGGGACGACATAACTTCACAGTGGTTACGGCGAGCCACGTCCAAGCAAACGGAGGAGGCGTTGGGAAAATGACGTATTTCTGGCAAACCGGGTGGAGTCAGTACATGCAGAGTCGTGTTATGGTTGATACATTAGCTGGTCAGTGGTGGCCACCGGCTCTAGAAGCGGTTATTACTCGGCAAGTTGGTCAACATTCTACTGTGAGGCAAACAGTATCATGGACACAGACTGGTGGTGTTGGAGCTGCTATCACTTGGGGGCTGCAGTTGTTCAAGGATTGGACTGGTAGTGTTACCCTGGCTGTTGGTCATGGCAACCATGCAGCGTTTGAAATTGAGAAAACCAACCCGGAGGTGGGAAGCGATGAGGATCTAGCCCGAATGACAGCATGGGACCGTTGCATTATGAAATATAACTTCACTATTGAGGGGGAAGGGAATATTGCTTTTGAAGCGAAGACTGTATTACCCTTTAGTGGGGGCTTTGAGGTTTCTTGTGGCCCCACTATGTCACTAGCTGCGGGCGCGGGGATTGAGCTGAAGTGTTCACAACAACTAAACGGTGCGGAAAGTCTGAGCGAGTGGGAAGAACTAGATGGGGCCTTTCCAACGCTTATTCAATGGTCGCTCATGTTGCGATGGCCCAACTTCGATTCGGCAATATTGAAGTTCCGACTCACACGCGGTGGTACTGCATTCACCATCCCGCTCGAGTTCGCAGTGCCAGGGGATAATACGGGAGTTGCTCTGGCGACCAGTGTGTTCTTAGCGGCACCATTGGTGGTTAAAGTTGTCCGAGAGACGGTACGGAAATTGAGGAGTAATTGAATAAAAATAGATACCAACGATCGTTGTAGTACCAATCGTTTCGTGTCAGAAGTGCGTTATGTTAGTTGGATTAATAAAAGATCCCAGAATTCCCCTCAAGGTGGGCCGACACAATTGGTTGTCTCTTTTTTACGTTATTGTGGACTCTATTGCTTTTCTTAGAATTGTTTCATTTCATACGAAGAACGTGATAACAATAGCCGGCCGAGGGCCTCATATACCTGACCGTTGGTGGTGCTTGTAACAGGGCTACTAGTTGGAGTTGTCTTTGGTGGTGCCGTTTCTGGCAATCCCGGCCTTAGAAGGTTGCCAACTGCGCGAAGTTGCACTCCATAGTATAGAGTATTGGCCGATTCCTCTAGCATGGAGTCCATACTAGAGGGTTTGGCCAGCCAATAGCACCTTCTTCCGCCTCATCCGGGTAGCTATGGAATGTGCCTTTAGCTGGGATGATGAGTGACGTGTGGCTGACCCTTCCTGCTGGGACCGTCTCAGCGTGAGCTGCTGTGCAAGTTGCACAATGCAACATTGATCCAAGCGGCAACGAGGTGAACCTTCTTATTCTCGAGTCCGGGTCCAGTGTGATCGGGGACGACTCGGCCAATGATCTTGATGATAATGATAAAGTCACTTGGTGGCGTCCACGGCCGTAACGACCGTCTCGGGGTTAGCAACTTCCTGCAAGAATGTCTCGCCATATTTGGAAAGAGAATCAGCAACCGATCGTCCATCCGAGGTATACCATGTACTATCGATTTCAAGTCGCCACAATCCGCAATCATTTCAAATTGTCACATCTAAGGAGCCCGCGGAGCAATTCTTGGATAGCCGTATATGACTCCACCGCGACTTGAGTGACTTTGCATTCTGGTGGCTCATAGGCCATCAAGAGTAGTTGTGGTAAAGACGCTATGGAGTCCCCCGAGCAGTCGGGGGAAATGGGTTTGCAACCCGGACGCAAGCCCTAAAGGAAGACTGGTGGCCTATCATCGTCGACTTACTGGAAGACTTGTAAGGAACTATACCCTCTCGATCTCAACTAGTGTCAACTGTTCGTTATTGTTCGGTGACTTTCACTGTGTTACTTTGGCGTTGGTTTCAGTGGGAGAAATTTAAATTGCGATGTTTGTGATGAAAAATTAGATTATCAAATGCTGTAGCAAAATGCCGTCAGTTCACGAGCCTACAAGAGATGGGCCAATGGCAAGACTTAGCCTCACGTCCCGTGTACTCGGTGTAGTGCTCTGGGTTGGCGTCACCGTCCTCGGCATTTACTGGTTTTACCCAAAAACTGGCCGCCGGACCACACCAAAGGATGCTGATCACCTGGTAAAGATCCACAATATCTGCGAAGGCGTGTTCTTGCTGGCCTTGGGAGCATACAGTACTTACGAGTAAGTCAAGGTCCTTCCTTGAGAAGGACAGGAACAGTTGCACGAGGGGGTTGTTCTCTCAGAACTCTGCGTAGGTTGAAGTCTCATGAAGGTTCATCAGCTTGGCATCAGTTCAAACACGATTCTCTCAGATTGTGTCTGTGAGTCTACAGTTGGTCATGAGACTTCGTTGCAATTTCTAGATATGTTATTATCGGAGGTTACATTATAGGTGGCCATCGCCACTCGGAGACTTTCGAATCAATAGCAATGTGGCTAGGAATAGTAAGCCTTCTACGGAGCGTATTTTCTCGTAGATGAACTCGGAATAGATAAATTCGAAGTTTCGGGTAATACACTTCCAAATAAGCATGAATGTGACATAACACGCGACATGATATGCAATGATAGACAATTTGAAATACTAGAGACATTTAGCATTCCACGTTTTATGCTGAAACTTCAACAAGGCTTAGATATAGTCATAAAGCATTAAACACCAAAATGAAACGGTGACATTATTGAACGTTACTCGTCTACTTCAATTAGTTGGTACGAAATAGGAAACTTTCGAATTTTCCTGAGAAGAAAAAAGAACACTTCTCATGGTGGTCTCAAACCGATGATTCTCTTGTCAGCCCGGTTTCATCATTGCTGCTTTCTACTTGAATTACCACACTCGAAACACGTGGGTCTGGAGACAAGCTAGGCTTGTCCATGAAGAGTCGGGCTTGAAGGCCGCACTCGCAAGATTAATGCTGCTTGGTATCCGTGGAGTATACCACTAGGATGTCGCGTCGACATCGAAGATGGGAAAAGTGCGGTCTTCAAGCTCTAAGTGCTCATATGCTAAAAGTACCAAACATACCAAACTGCTCAAAGTTTTGGTTGCTCATGAGGAGTGGGAAGAAGCCATCGCTACTGTAGACAAGTTAGGAGCATTCATCAATGGGGGACAAAAGTGCCGCTTACGGGCAGAGGTTCACGAGGGGGGCCTTACTTGAACGAGTAGCCCGAAATTTCGTGTCTCTCAGATGTAATATCTGCCAGATAGAATAAATTACCGGAGAACACGGTGTGTTGTAGAGGTCCATCGCTGGGGTTAAACGACTCATGAATGAATCATGTGGAAGGTGTTACGAAGAACACCTTGTCGTCAAGTTCTCACATCAGCCCGGGCTGAATGATGTGGTTAATTATACGACTCCCACAACGAGAATCTCGTTACTGGTCGGAACACGACAGGGCCATCTGGAAGGAATCAGGTAGCTTTAAATGAGAGACTTTTCCAAACGACATGCTATGGATCAGCTGGGAGCAATGCCTCCGAAACATAGTGCATTATCCAGGATAACGAGAATGAGATCAGAATCGTTTCATCGACTAACTCGACCAATCATTGGTAACCAGTGGGACTCGAAAATGCGACCTCACGAGCACACGTGTGCTCGAGAGTTCCTTGACAAGGTTCAAGACATAATGAAGTCATGATATTCTTATGTATGATATAATCATGGAGCTTTAACATGAGACTGAATCTTTGTTCCCGATGTACTGTCAACACAGGCTTGCCCACTTATCGCAATTCAACTGGCCCAGCTTCCCAAATAGTCCAGCTCCATGGCCAGTCATGGCTGTAGAGGAGGACATCGAGCCATACGTGGAGGTTGAAGTGGGACTTGAATTCCCAGATATCCGACTTATGATCAACGGTGTTTCCGAAGATGTCCAGAGATATACCGGCTCCGACAACTACCGCCGAGTAATCAATGCCAAGCTCACCATATGCTTCGACATCACCATTGTCCGAAGCATTGACTGCAACTTGACCAGAGAGTGTGACTCTCAACGCAGGGACGATAGGAACTTTGACTACGACCGCGACCGACATCGCTATTTTCCCTTCGTAAGTGCCATTCCCACCGCTTCCTGCACCAGTAAGACATACTTGAATGTGCAAGCCTGCGAAGTCAATATCAGAACCCCAAACTAAGGCGCATCCAGCAGCTTCGAAAGCAAAAAGTAGGACCTCTGTCTCCGGCTGCTTCAAATGGACTGTGACATTGAGGTGAGCTCTATTTTCATTAATTTCTTCATCGGCATAAGCCATATATAGGTCGAGACCCAGTTGCGTGTCGTTAGAGCTATAACCAACATAGAGACAGAATTTACTGACCGACTTGGTCTTACCGGTCCTGCAAGCCGACGGTAATTGGAACTCCTTCTTATCATCCTTCTCCTGTAGAGGAGAGTGATACTTGTACAGAAAGAACTCATGTGCAGCTGTGCCATTGGAGATACGAAAATAATCAATCGGTGCCACCGACTTATCTCCACGAATATGAGTCTCGTTCGACCTCCAGAAGTGGTCCTTCCCATCGTTGAAGAATAGACGAGCCTTTTCGGTAACCAAGCGGGTCTTGATGAACTCAACATCTAGTTGTGGCGCCTCCTCTCTCGCTGGTGCCTGATTGTGGCTCTGGACGATATCATACGCCGAGTAAATATCCTTCATGGCAACGTCCAAGGTATATGCATCGTCGAGCTCTTCCCAATGAGTGACCTCGGACTCGAGATATACTTTATCTTTCTCGAAGGTGTTAATACCCAAGAGCTTCACCATCTGCTTCTGATCCTTGTCTAGATAGAGAACCCAAGCGTTACTGATCACACCAGTCTGAGCGAGGGCAGTGAAATTGAGACCCGATTTGGGATCCACACCTTCTACGCCACTTCTGACCCATTTGTTCAGCTTCTGTTCACCTTCATCTACCAAACCTTTATAGACCCAACCATCATCCTCGAGCGTACGATTGGCATTGAGCCTGCGAGAATTGGGCATATCATCCTTTTTCCTGGTTCCCTGCTCTATGAGGAATGACTGTTTATTAAAGAGTTGAGAGGTGCTGAAGTGCGTGTCGTTCTGGCTCATGAGGAGATACAGATACGGGTGACTTGGCGCTGCTTGAACCACTGCTTGACCGTCCTTGGCGATGAAGATGTCTCGATGAACGGTGAACGACTTGTTATCATCCATACCAGGTAGGACCAGCCCTTCAGTCTCCATAGCCTTGGAGATGTGACATCCCATTGGGTTCCCTTTGACGTCCCTCAAGTCAAGATTACAGAAATGTGTTGTCTTCATCTGCATGCGAATGTTGCCTATCTTGAAGACGCATACCACACCACGCATGAATAGGGCGACGAGGAGGATGTTCATTATCGAGATGGTGAACGGAGCCATAAAATTACTGTGATACCCGAATAAGTAATTCCAGTCAACTCGACGCTCATAAAAGAGTCAGGCAGAAAACCAATGATGTTAGGAGGCTTTTGGTCAGCTATGAAATGAGCGTAACGATCATGCTCATCGTGACGCGCATGGCCAGGCTCTACGGAAGCGCAGCCATTCACGTGACAGCCGCAATAGCGTGCAATCGACTGGATGATCCTTTAGATTGTGATAGATGGAAGTGCTTAGCACTCAGTGCTACAATGAACTGTGAGCGTTGAGTAGGTGGCAGTAGAGGAGCCTGTCGAGGAGTACTTTGCATGTGGAGTATCCTTATGAAAGCCAGACTCACTTCCGCCAAATGAAAGAGAGAAAAACTAGCAGTGACAACGTCACCGTGACGTACAACTTCACCGTCTCGATTTCAAACTCAATGAAGGGAAGCACAAATTCGGTGATTAGATCTATCGTAGCTCACCATTGGGATGAGTGTGCCAAGTGGGATTTTTAACACTGGTTGTCTGATATCATCTGATGATAATCACCAGGTGATGTGTGCTCAACGAGCAAGCTCAACCACGCGTGCCATGAAGTTGCACCCTGGAAACGCGTGATTCACGCGTTTCACGAGTGATTCAGAATCAGTTATAAACAATCAGAATAATTCACGTTTTGTGGTAAAACTGTCGCCTTATATTTACGTCGTAAATATAACGCTTCTCAAACACTACGGGTGGAACCTCTACGCGTAGTGTTCCATGCGTAAAAACCATGTAGGGACACCATTTCGATCTATACCGCGCGTGTGTGTCACGCGAATATTGAACCAGCCAACCGAATACGCCATCATCAAACCCTTTGGAAGGGTCCCTTTTGGACCGAGACGTTCATCTTGCGGGGATGAGATGGCGAAAGTTAAGCCGGGGTATGGCTGTGGTTGTGGCTAGCTGCTAGCCACTAGCAGCAGAGACATGCTGACAGTCTCAGAAAGAGCTGGCCGTACTAAATGATTAAGCCTCGCTATTTCCTCGTTTAGAAGTGATAGGCCGTGAGAAGGTCTTTTGTGTAGAGGATTCTTTACTAATATTTGTAACGTCTCATGTGATAAACGCAGAGACTCTGCGTTTATCGCATAAGACTCTGCGGCAGAGTTGGACCTTGGGGGAGGGAGCTCCATATTGAAGCCCTATCCTACAACTGGCTCGGGAGTGAATTCCGTGTGAACATGAGCTTGTGACCGAGAGGCATCCTCAGCATCGATGTCTGATGTCAACGACTATGAATACTCAGCGATGTTCATCGTCTCGACTTCAGGAGTGTCCATCATCTGGTTGGGTTGGTGAGTCGATTGGTGACTGAAAAGCAGGTTGGGGCTCTGCTCACATCCTCCCTATAAGGATATTAGGCACTCGCCGTTCCTTGTGCTAACGAAATAGGCTCATTGAAAAAAGGCTCTCCATCAAGTGAGCTCTTCAAGTATGTAATCATCATGAATGATTCATGTGTTGCTAGTTGTGTTGTGAGCATCCCCTGAGATGCTACTGTGCGCTACTGGCACAGTGCTACACAGAAGCGGCATTTCAGGGGATGCTCACAGTGTGTGGTGACCACACAGTAGTTGGCTATGAATTTCCTTTGGCATTTGACGATCAAATGCCAAAGGAAATTCATATGATCAAATTTTGATCATAGACAATAATTTATAGTCCTGTTCATCACGACAATTATAATCGAACTTTTAATTCTTGACGATGTATACCCGCTTCATCGGATGAAGTCTATAGTACAGAAATTCGGACGGACACTCGATGCAGACTAGCGCACCCTCATCCGAATGCTGTGAATAATGGACAAGAATGAGCTCTGACTGGTATGAGAGCGCTCAGCATGCTTACGCGACCGTTGTGGCTCACGTAAGTCTTCCGTGGGCCACCGTTGGAAGAGGCTACGTCTATGTGACTCAGCAGGGCGTGGGGCATAAGAAGATGCTATACCGCATAATAGAAGATGACCGACGAGGCTCATATTGACAACCCAAGAACATCACCAAGATCACCACTGATTTGTTGGTATCATACCAGCCCTGTGATATGACAAACGCAATTCTAGGAAATCGGACATGGAATCCCTGCCTGAGTCCGGTGTAATACAATCCGGCAATCGCAACTTTTTGCTAATATTGCGGATTTGCCAAATGCTATAATTTCTGACAGTCTCACTTTTTTGCTCTTTTGTATGTGCTGCTTTCTCAGTTACAAAGTAGCAACCACATTTACAACCTAGCAATTCCTGGTATAGGTTTTAGCAACCAAATGTTGAAAGTAGCAAATCGAAAAGTGTCTTCCAGCAAGTCGCTCTTTTTTGCTCTTTTTTTGCTGCATTGTATATTTCCCCGGAATGTTTTACACTCTGGCACTTTTGTCCAAGTGTGCTTCGCCCGCACGTTTTCGTTATTTTGGCAAGTTTTGCTCATTTGCTGTATGATATGTTTTGCGTTGTAATTATGTAGTCTGGCACCTTTTAAGGTTTGCTATTGTGTGACGTTCCTGCATGAAATATACAGATTGGCAGTTGCGGGTATGTGACAACGCTGCGCTACTTTTATGTTTCGGCTATTTGCTCTCTTGTAACTTACGCCCTGCGGGAATACATACTAGCGTTTTGCTCATTCGCTCAAACTCCGTCTCTGTTAGCGTTATTAGCAAACTTGCCCTTCTGTGTTATTCGTACAAGTAATATACAATCGAGCAAACATAGTTATGGGATAGCATTTCTCGTTCGATTACGGTATGGCGCCTCATATCCATTTTGGTGCATGTTCATGTCCTGTGCATTTAC